CCCCCCCCCCCCCCCCCCGTCATTTCTACCTCTGCTTTCAATTATCTCTCTCTCTCTCTCTCTTATAATTTTTTTTTTATTTTTATTTTATATTTAATTTTTGATGGTGCTCATTGAGAGCGAATTAAAAAAGAATAAAAATGTATTAAGGCAAGCGGCGAAGATTATGAATTAATTTTTAAAGATCTTTTTTCGCGTGACTCTTTCGGGTATTTTATGGTACCAGGGTCTCCCCACACCCCCACCCCCACCCCCCCCTCGGACACGCCTCTTCGCTGCGGTTCTCACTTCCCCGCTGGGATGAAAAGATTTCGCGAATTTTCGAAAGTCGCCGTCGCCGTCGCCCCGACAATTTGGCAATAAATTAACCGCAAAGCGTTTCGGGCAATAAAACATAAAAATGCAGACTGCCCCCCAGCAGCCCAGACCCCCCTGGGATACACACACAGACACACAGACACACAGACATAAAGACATAAAGTAGATATATTGTACATATCGAATATCTGGCCATATTTTTGCATTTTAACACAATTTTCGGTGGGATTTGCGGGCCAAAGGCAATTAAGGAACGAAAACGAAAACGAAACCGAAACCGAAACGAGCGCAGCTTCCGTCCAGGAACGGAATGGGAATGGGAATGGGAATGGGAATGGGATATTGGGAATGAAATGGACAACCAAACTCCCAACCGAAAAGTGTGTGAAGGTTCGTCATAAATTCATAAAGCGAGTTCAATGACCAGCCTCTGGCTTGAGCCAGCCTTTTCAGTCCACCCTTTGTGCGAGCATAAAACATAAGGCCCATAAAGAACCCACCTGAGATCCGATTGCATTCGAGTTTGCTTAATTGCAGCGACACACAGCCAGGGGGGAATATCTATAAATTAAATTGAATCGCATAATCCGGAGCCCATCCGGGCAAGGGTAAACTTCAATTTGGGCTGAGTTTTATTTTTGTGAGATTTGATCCAAGCCCTCGGTGACGAGGGGAAGTTCTGCGAATATTGTTGCTCGATTGCTCTCAGGGGATTCTTTGCCATGGGTACCGAGCAAAATAAAACCACGAAAGGAAACTGGAAATTTGTTCTAATGAAAGAAAAAAGAAAGGAGGAGGAAAAATTGAATTAAAAAGGAAATTGCAGAAGCGAGAACTTGCCCATAAAGGCAACACTTCTTCGTGCCTTGAAGGGATTGTCAGGGAGAGGCGTTAAACACGAGCTGCTGGTGGACAGGAGGTGGCACGGCCTTGGTCTCTTGACTCGATGGCCTGCCACTGAAAAGACGAGCAAAGAAAAGAAAAAGAAAAAGAAAAAGAATAAGAAAAGGAAAAAGCAAAGGAGCTGTGCCAGTGGCAGTGGCCAGATATTCGAGAGCCAGTTCTTTGGGTTCAACTAATTTGTTAACTATATTATGGGAGCCACTCAGCCACCTTTTGATTGCCTTATAAAATATAAATACAGGTATGGGAAATGGGAAATGGCCAACTTTACGCTTTAAACTGTATGATAAATGCACTTTAGCGTCGATTTAACATTCCGTGAGTGATTATACAAGATACACAATAAGGCAAAACTTTGACAAGTGCTGAAAGCGACTTTTCACCCACTTGGACCCAGCGACAGACACATGTATCCGCCGAGGTAGTTCAAATTATCAATGAAACTTTACAATCACAATCAAAAAAGAGAGAGTAGAGTGAAGAGAAGAGAATGGAGGTTGATGGAGGTTGGAGGAGGTGGCAGAAAAGAATAAAACCAAATACAGCGGCCAAAAGTTGAACTGAACTGCAACTTTGTTAACTTTGCCGCTTATTAAAGACAAACTCGTGGCACAAGAAAAGACTCAGAGTTCGAGTTCGAGTTCGAGTTCGAGTTGGACTGGCTTAAGGACCCGCCAGAGCTTACACAAATATTTATTGTTGCTGTCAATGTATCAGGTTTGGCTTTACCCTGCACTACCCCCCGCATTAAATTGAAATTATCCACTAAAAGATACGCAAAGAAATCTTAAAGCTTGGCTCTGCTTTGTTTTCCTTGTGGCTGGCTGGAATATAATCAAAAGGCAATAAATATTGCAAATGTGACAAAGTTTAACTAGGACAGGGACGGGGACGGGGACTCACCCACACCACAGTGAGGGAAAAGGCTGGCCAAAAGAGCGACAGAAAAAATGTAAACCAGAGGCAAACAGAACAGGAGAGAACTCGAACTTGGAGCTGGCTGAATACCCTTGAAAAGCCAACACAACTCTTCAAACTGATTCATCTTCTAGCATGAGAATTTGTTTAATTATATTTTCACCCATGCCTTAATCGTATTTAAGTGTAAAGCAAAAGTGTCCTTTGCTTCCTTTGCTCCCCACGATCCCACTCCAGCCGCTGCACCGGCTGCAATGTCGGAATATTCGCAGTTCAAGTTGCAACACTTAATGGACCTCGCTCAGCTCCCGCTTAGTGCTGAACTCTTTGGCTTTTGTGGCGCAAGTTTCTGCGCATTATTCGAATACCTTTGGCAAGGGTATAGGTATAGAGGCTGAGCTGCTGGCTGCTGGCAAAAAAAGGCCAGCAAAAAATTAAATATAAAATGCAAAAATTGCTTTTAAGCAGCGAAAGTCGCGTTTAGCACAGCGGCCCTGTCCCACGGGTTAGGGTGGAGTGGAGCGCCAGGACACATGGATGCCTGGCATGTGGGCAGAATGTGCTAAAAGGACATTGCTGTTGTTGCTGTTGTACGTGAGTGTGTGCAGTTCATCAGCGACCGCAGCAAGAGGCAGAGATCCGGCAAACAGAAAAAGGACACTCGCTCCAGCAAACAAAACAAAAAAATAAAATAAAAGCGGAAATACGAAGGGGGAAAACCAAAATGATTCTGCTGCTGGCTTCTGCACGGCAAAAGGGTTCATTAAAAATAGCACAAAAAAGTGAATGCAAGTGGGGAAAATGATGTCAAATAAAATAGGTGGGAGCTGGCTTTGGGAGAAGTGCGGCACCTCCGGCCCCAGGCCCAAGTTGTCCTTAACTTGAAGTCTGTTTGTCTAACTAGCTAACTGAGTAACTGAGTAACACTCTGCACACTCCTTTGCTTATGCAAGTGGAAATTCATTATTTTCGCGTGCATGCCGCAAATTATGCGACGAACTTTATCACATTTGCAATTTGAGACGACTGCCGGTGGAGTACCCCAAATGGCACGAGCCTGCCGCACGAACCCCCAGCACGGAATTAACATTCGAAATTGAATTGGTTTGTCCTGTGTCCGCCGATTGCCACTGGGGTACATTCGCTTTCGTTGATCGGTTGCCACATGCAAATAATTGCATCTATTTTTAATGGACAACGGATAACAGTTGAGTGCGGCTTTAGCTTCCAATCATTGCCAATCTCCTCCACCGATGATTACTGATTACAGAGCAACACCAACACCCGACAACAAACTAACAAACAAGCAAAAAAAGCAAAGGGAATCGCCAACCGCATAACAACTGTGGCACACATTTAAATGTTTAACGAAAATCCACTAAGAGCATTTCGCATTTAAACTCCCCGTGTAGCAAGGCATTTTCAGGTTAGGCAGAGCTGGATTACACACACACACACACACACACACACACTCGCACAACAGCAACAAAAAAATGTTTTTGGTTTTATAAAAATTCCACAATTTTCTTCTTTTTTTTTGTTTGGTCTGCAACGAAATCCCGCATAAAAGCTGTTTCCACGCGGATTTTTGGCTGCTTTTTTAGGGTATATTGTGTTCGTAAGGATGTTTGTGACAGCAGGCAGCAAGGCGATAATTGAGCAATAATTAATTACTTGTGATTCTCGATGCCCACTTGCAGCAGCAAACTTCTGCTTGGTTGCCTTTGGCCCATTGGAGTGCCCGCAAATTATAATTCTCGAGTCGGAAATAACTTCCCTGGAATAAGTGCCTTAAAACAAAAGCGATAAAGAGTTAAGAGACAAAGCAGCGGAAATTCCGGGCTGCATTCTTCGCTTAGTCAATCACCTGAGTGGCCCCACAAATCCTCATACATTTTTACATATTCTTGTACATACAGTTTACATATTCATGAAGTGTTTGCGGCGGGTATCCCCTTAGTCGTAAGCCCCCATTTCGGAGACTGTTAATTGTCGTTTTGTTGTTGTTGCTGTTTTCTTCGCTCTCTGGTGCAAAATGAACATGAAGCTATTTGTTAATTCAATGAATTTATTTTACTGGTGCAGAAAAAAAGGCAGCTACGAACCGGGCCACGGCACTGAACATTGAGCAGGCCATGTTGCAGCCGACACACACACGGGCGCCGGCAGATACTCACGCACATTGATGAACACATTACAAGATATTTTGCATATTTTATGGTTTCGAAGAGGAAGGTGCACACACATATCCCCACATACATATGCATGAGGCGCAATGGAGTGCAACAGAAGCAGCAGGAAGAGGCGAACAAAAAGAGAGGGACAGTCGCGGTGTCAGAGTGTCAGAGTGTCAGGAGTGCAGCAGCAGGGGAAATGAAGTCAGTTCGTGTAAAAATCTGTTTTTATGATTAATTGCCGTTCCAGTGAAAAACGAACCACGACAAGGAGCAGCGGGAGGATGGGGCAGCAGAGAGTCTGTCCGGGACTGTCCGTGCCGAGCCGTTTCTGCATTTCAATTTGTATTTTCCCAGCAATTTCATTTGCACACAATTTTCATTGCTCTCCTCCTACCGCCCACTACCACCCAACCGTTCTTCTCGTTGCCAGACTTTACATTTCTCGCATTCACACTTGGCACCACCTGTCCGTCCGTCCGTCCGTCCGTCCGTTTGTGTGGCTCATTCCATCAGGCAGCTTTCGCCAAGTTTTCTTTACTCTTTTTATGGGCGGATTGAAAGTTTTATTTGCCCGATTTAATGCTGATCCGACAGCATATATAATTATACGTTGATTAATCCCTGCCCGAACAGCACCCACACGCCTTTGGCTTTTTTAGTGTTGGACAACATTTTCATTCTTCCTCTATTTGTTCCCCCACACTGGCGGAAAACCTATCTGTGCGGATTAGGCATTCAAATATTCAAAACACAACTGAAAAATATTCAAAAATGCGCAGAAACATCCCCCGGGCCATCCCCATTAGGTGCTTCCGTTTGAAATACTTCCCTTTTCTCTCGGTGCACTTGCTTAGTGTGTGCTGCTGTTGTTTGCTGTTCCTTTTGTTCTTTGTTTTTTGTTGCTACTGGAAATTGGCGCGTTTATCTGACATTATTTTGTGCACATTCGTTTCATATTACTTTGGTCTGGCCAGGCTCCCTCCTTGGCTGACGAGCATGGGAGCAGAGACAGAGGTATGCAGCTTTCCATACCCTTACACGAACCATGGACAATGCAATGTTTAAAAACTTAAAAACTTTTCCATGACGACGAGTAGACGCAGAATATGTGGATAAATGTTTGTAGCAGCCGCAAGGGCATAGAGTTATTCGTTCTTTGATGCATTTCTTGTACCCATTGTTCTAGCTTCTGCATTGCTTCATCTCTGCGTTCGACTGGAGGATTGCTGCTCCTAGTGCTGCAGCGACTGCCACTGGGCATGGCAGTGGGACTGGCGCAGCCTCAACCACTGCTTCCGTTTCCTTTTGCTCTGGCTGGCAGCATGAGGCGAAGAAGCAATTGGTAGTGGCAGTGAGGCTGGGACCGGGCCGGGGCCGGGGCTGGGTGAAACAACTGCAACTGGCATTTTTGGCGTTCCCGGCACGCGCTCACTAATTTTATTCCTTAATAAAAACCAAAGGCACAAAGCGATGGCAAATGGCTGAGGCTGGTCTAGGTGTGGGAGCACCCAGTGGGAAAAGCAGCGAGAGCCAGCGATGGGTCTGGGTCTGGGTCTGGGTCTGTGGATGGAGCAGTGTGCCCTGCACGTAGCGCTTCATCTCTCTTGGCTGCTGCGCATCCATTGGCCCCATTATCGGGTGGGCCCACCTTTGCGGAAGACACGGGTCTCGCCATCAAACTAGCAAAGTTCATTAAAGTGATAATTACAAAGGCCGTAAAGAGCGAATAACGGACGGACGGGCCAAGACGACACGAAACGGATATACGAGCTGACAGCAGCAACAGCAATGAGAACCGGAAAGGGTTTGCCCTCGAGACTCTTAAATAATTGCACATAAATGGGCCAAGACATTGATGTTACTGCTACAACACTCTCCACGCTCCACGCTCCACTCTCCCTCTGCCCACTCTGCCCACTCTCTCTCTCTCTTACTCTCTCTCTCTGACTTAAATTCGTTGCCTAATTTACAGTAAATGGTGCGGAACCGTTCCATCTGATATGCTACCGAAAATGGAAACTTATGCGGAGATTTCGCTGAATTTTGAACATGTATTTGCGGAATCGATTTGGTTCAAATTTATCCCAAATAAAATACAGCAGATTCATAGATCTCTGCCGCAGAGAGAGGGATTCTTCCAAGAGAGTTTTTCGCTCTTTGAGCGTGCTCTTTCCATGAATTTCGTTTTTTTTCCAAGAAAGAAATTCCACGAGGGACTCGTGGAATGATCCATTGAAAGCATCTTTTAAATACATACTTATTCAGTGGCAATCATGAGAATCGGGGGACGTACATACATCTACATATGTATGTATGTATTGCTGTGCTCATAAAAGAGGAGCAAACAAGACTTTAAATAATCATAACCCAAGACCCAAAAAACTTTGCACAGCTGCCAACAGGCTGACGCCCAAGGAGCAGGAAAACTTTTGCGGCATAAACAACAAACAACGAGTGCCACAATGGATGGGGCAGCAGCAGGAAGCAGGCAGGGCAGCGGGTTGAAAGCCATAAACTACAATTGAAAGAAACAACAAAGCGGCAGCAGCGGCAGCATCAGAAACATCAGAGGCGAGCCAGCAGCAACGGCATTGGGCACTAAGCAAAAAGGGATATAAATAAATAAATAAATACATATGCAAAAATGCGAAAAGGATTGGGCAACAGAACACTGAGATACTCGGCACTTTGATATGCATCTAAATGGCATCATCAGGAGCAGCATCATCNNNCGGGATGGGGTCGGAGACGCCAAATGTGACAGCAGAAAGAAGAACAACAACAGAAACATATTCCAAAGATGGCAATCAGCATCGGTGCGATTGAGAAAGCAACAGCAAATAGAATAACACTCAAACGAGAAACCCGAAAACAACAATCCAAAACGGAACCCAGGACATTCAAAGTGCCAAGAAGCGAGCTGGTGTCTCGTGTCCAGCAATCAAAACGACATCATGACAAAGTCCATATACCCTTGAGAACTCGTAGACATCAACAGCTTTACCATGCACCATTTACCTACCTATAGCTACCTATTCCTGTCAAAGGTTTTGTCTCATTTTCAGACTTTTTCGAAAACTAATCGTAAATTAATTCTTGTAATATTAACCCGATCTGCAGGACTATGTCACAAAGACACAAAGTCAATATGCAAATTCGAATGCCTTCAGAAAGGGTATGCTGGAAATAAGAGCTAACGGAAAAAACAGCAAATCATTTTGCGGGCATTACATTTTATTCGCCATTCATTGTTTGCCGTGGCCATAGCCAAGAAGCGAACAGTGGGACGAAATATGCAATGAACTAACTGAGGAATCATCTTTCTTGAGTTTCATTTGATTTAATGTCAGCTCCCACATGATCGGTTGGGCTTTACTGATTCTCCGTGCAGCTCCAGCTCGAATTAAATAATTATTCATAATTTCTAAACACAATTTATTTAGCAAAAAAAAAAAAAAAAAATATATTATATGATAGATGATTCCTATGTATTTCCGACCACTGTGCATCGCGCATTTTAGAATCCTTCAACTCATTCCTGCTCACATATTGGACGCTTTTGTGGCTTTGTAATGCAAATGTTTGGGCAACCCTGGCTGCTGATAGTTTTGCTCAACTGAAGAGGGGAATGAAAATAGACAATGACAATGATGGCTGATTTGGGTAGCTGGAGTTGGGGCTGGAGCTGAACTCACTCTTGTAGACATTGTAGCCACGCTCATCGGCAATGAAGTACTGAGTTTGTATCAGATTGCGTCGTCCAGCGATGGGCACCGAGTTGTAGCCCTCCTGCACATTGATCTGCCGTTCGCCCACTCGCTTCGTGTAAAGTTTCTTATAGTTCGCCATGCCGTTGCTCAGCACTAATCTGTGGAAACGAATTTAATATTTTGTGTACCACTCTCGCTTTCTCTCTGTGTATGGTGGAGTGTTATTGGGGGGGCGGGGGCTTACTTGTACTCTTCGGTTCCATTGGGGTGTATGACGTGATAATTTTCAACAACATAAGTGGGCGTTGGTGTGGTTGTGCCAGTGGGATCTATGGGCCTGGGACGTGAAGTGGTTGCAGATATTGCCGGTGGTCTTACTGCTGGTGCTTCTTCGTCCAAGAAATAATCAAGATTTTCCTCTTCAAAGTCCATTTGCGGAAATACAACCAATTGATCCTCATACAATGGCCACATTGTTGTTGTGGTTGGTGTTGTTGTTGTCGAGGTTGTTGTTGTTGCTGCTGTTGTTGTTGTTGCTGCTGTTGTTGTGGTTGTACTTTCCTCTAGCGGATTGAAGTCATCACCATCCTCAGTGTCACTGGGCCAAACAACCAATTGCAATTCATAGATGGGCTGACTATCGGAGGTCTTCAAGTGACGCTGTAGCTGGTCCGTATTATTAGCAGTGCTACTTGCCCCAGACTGCTCCGCCACCTCATCGTTGCAGCCTAACGAGTCTATTGTCGCCGCATCGAGAGTCAATTTACAGTCGATGCGTTGCCTGTCCATCTCGAGTGTGGTGCCTTGTGGGTCCACCTCCTCCTCGACTGGTGCTGCCTGGACAGAGCTCTTGGCCAGGATTAGTGTCGCCAGCAGGATGGCCAGTGGCATTGCGAGCCGCATTCTGTTTAATGTCATGACTGTGGGCACTTTCCTTTGCCGTCTCTCGCTGCCAAAAGGCTCAGACTTGTATTTATACGAATCGAAAAAGCTTCACTCTGATTCTCAGACTGCATCGGCAACTGAAACTGCAACTGCAGCATCGACTGCATCATCGATTTAATCATCAGCACTTTAGACACCAGAAACATTTTATTCTTTCATTGTTACAATACCGTTATGCGGCCAGCGGAGCGAAGAAATGGGAACAGAAAACGAAACAGCCAACGGCATGAAAGAGGATCAAAGTAAGCTTCGCCCCTGCTTCTGCTTAACCCTTCCGTGGGTCGCTGGGTCACATGCATTCCCCACGCTCAGTCAGTTTATTCTCATAGGAATTGTGTATTAATTGTAGCATAATAAGATATACCTTAAGCCAGATTAATATTAAGATCTTCAGAGTTCAGAAACTATAGCTTCTTGTTATAATTATGCATTTTGTTTATTTTTATTTGACACACTTTGCACGCATGGCCTGTGCGCGGGTTAAAATGCATTTTACAATTCTGAAAGATGATGAAAATCACCCAATAAAGATGTGAGAGAGCGGCTCAGGTGGAGGATTGTTATAAAGTGTGTGTGTGTGTGTGTGTGTGGGTGTTTCTCCGTGTTGATGAAAGTTCATTGAGGGGGAGGGGGATCTTATCAGATTTTTACGATTGCTCGCCACAAAGGCACAAGAGGCAGAGAGAGAGAGAGAGAGAGAGAGAGAGAGAGAGAGAAGAGAGAAGAGAGATAAATACCAACCAAAGACACTTATTTTTGCATTCCTTATGATATGACCCTTCACCTTCTTTCTGTTGGTCAAAATCCCTGTCAAAGGGATTCATTATTTGTCCTATTTCATTCTAGATTTTTATTTATTGCTCTCCCATTTAAGTTTTTTCCTCTTTTTTGTTTGGTCATTTGAAGTACATCATTTATAATGAGATTTTCCAAGTTGAACAAAATACGAGTACTTTCTAGCTGGCTTGAGAGCGGGGGCGGTGGTGGTCGGTCGCAGCTGCAGTGCAATTCGCGGAGCCAACGCTGGCATTGGCTCTGCCTCTGCCTTTGCCGTTGCCGTTGATGATGATGATGATGACGCAGCAGCGGGCAACGGGAACTGCAACGGGAATGGGAACGCGTGGTGAAGCGATAGAATGGGAACGGGACAGACGAGGATGAAGCTCTTCTGATGCCTCGCACTTTTTCAAGTGCAAGAGTTTGATGCGGATCAAATCCAAGGGAATATTTATGGCCATTAATTGTTATATATATTTATTATTATAATTGTTAAATATAAATATAATATAATATATTCCGCTTGGATTTAGCTTTTTTGTCATGATGGTTTTATGTTCTGTGCAAATCGTTGAGCATTTAGGGTATCCCTTGGTCGTGTCATGGCCCACTTTGTTCCTGTCTCTGATTGCTCCTCTTCCTCTACTTTCTTCGTTTATCTCGCGCTTCCCGCTGCATCTGCTTGTGTGCTCGCTGCCCCCCGTGTGTCATAAAAGACACTTTATTTTGAGAGATATTTTAAAGCTTTATGTTTTTGGAGACCGGTTCGAAGCCTCTTCCCGCTTAGCGCTTTGCCAAACTGCATTTGAATGCAATCCCCCACCTCCCATTTGCCGGTATTTTCCGGTTTGATTTTTGTTTGGCCTTTTCAAGGGCGTGCAGCAATATCAATTTGTAACGAGCATTTCTAATTCAATTTCTATTTAACTGAAGAAACGCCAAAGCCAAAGCCAAACTGAGCTGAGCGGGAGGGGGGTCTTTAATGTGCAATTTGTCAAAAACTTTTTTGATTTATGAGTCCACAACGGCAGCGGCGGCAACAGCAAGCGGCTGTCAAACAAGTTGTCCCAGTCCATTTCCCTCGACCAGTCGACCACTCCGCAACCCCGCTTGGAAGCAAAGAAAATTGAAAATCTTTCACACAAATTTCCATGCAAGCGAAACATTTTCCACCCACACCCCAGCCCTTGAACGTTTCCCTTGCTCCTTGCTATTTTCCTCTTTTTTTTTTTTTTGTATTTTTGGCTACAAGTTTAATTTGATTTGATTTTTCGGTGAATGCCGCTGGACATGCCACCCCCCCCCAAGGCAATTTGTCAAGCATATGTACATGGATTTATGTACATGTATTTATGCTGAGTAGCTTAGTCCAACTTAATTCCCATGCTTTAAAAATATTCTCTTAAAAAATACAATTAATTTAGCAGTTAAATGAAGCCTCCAATAAGTCAATAAACAATTTGAAACTATAAAAAATAAATTAAATAAATAAAGGGAACACACAAAAGAAACTTAATTATAGATTAAATATTTTATTAATGGAAGAAGCAGGACGGGTACAGGGTCTGAAACTGAACATTTATATTATGATTATTATGATTAAGCCAACTTATTGGCAGCTCTAAATATATCCAAGAGCTGCACAGCACTCGATATTAAAATTTGACCCAGTTCGGGGCTGGAGCACTTCCAGAACTCGCTCAAGAACAATTAAAATTCGGCCTGAAGCAGGTTGCACTCCAATCACACCCTGGCAAATCTCTTGCCAAAGAAATCATATTTAAGAAGACTCCGAATCGAGACTGAGATCAGAGCGAAGTCGACAGCAAAAGATTAACCCTCGAGAGCTGACTATCAAATCAAGGATACACAGGACATCATGGAAGTTGCAATGAGTTTGAGATTCCTTATACTGATGGCGGTTATCTTGTGTGTGGCCATGGCACAGGTGGCAACAACAGAGAAGCCCAAGGGATCCACCACCACGGGGAAGCCAATGAAGGCCACAGATCGTCGCGACAAGCGTCAATTGGTAAGTGCAGAAAGGATCGGGAGATCGCGCTGGAAACTGGGAGGGGGGGAGCACTATCTATCTACCATAAGTACATTCCGAATATATTCTTGTGCCATCCGTAGTACATTCCCTGGTTTGCTTCTCCCTTGCAGGGCAACACTGCCGCCAGCAGTGGCAGCAACTTTCCCATTTTCTACGACGGCGTCGGTGTGAATCCTCCGCTGCAGCAGCTGCCCCCGCTCCAGCCATTGCCACTGCCACTGCCACTGCCACCGCTGCAGCAGTTGCAACCGGGCCAGGGCCAGGGCCAGGGCCAGGGCCAGACACAGTCGAGCTGGCTGCCCAATTTCGGACAAAACTTTGGCCAGAATCTGCCCATCATTGGCACGCTGGTCGGTGGGCTGCCGAATCTCATCAGCAGCCTGGGTCTGGGCAACCTCAACGGCGGCTTCGGCAATCTGGGCGGCCTCAATCTCGGCCAACTTGGCCTGGGCGGCCTGACCCCAGTGGTAGCGGCACCTGTGCCCGTGCCCGTGCCCATCACACCCAATCAGCAGTGTCCGCTCACCCAGAAGCTCAGCTGTCGCTGCGAGCCGCTCCTCCAGCTGCCCGGCCAGAAGCTCAGCTCTCAGCTGCGCGGACCACAAGCCCAGTCCCAGTCGCAGTCGCAGTCGCAGCTGGTGCAGATCCTCAGGCAGAATGTGCGCCGCAATGAGGACGGATCGCAGGAGCTGCGCGTTGTCCTGAGCAGCGGACATGTGCTCTATCAGCGGACGGCAAAGGACCTCGGCCAGAGCGGCCACTTTGCCATGAGGCTGCCGTCGGGGCGTTTCTTCAACATTTTCTACAGTGTCAACGAGAAGGAGTACACGGTGCGAGCAGACGTCAAGGATGCGCCACCCAGCTCCGACCTTGATGAGGAGCTCACCGGACAGATCTAAAAGAAAAGAAACTTGCCCCAAAAAGTGTACAAAATTTGTTTGAGTTGAACTATAAATAGCAACAAATAAACGGCACAACAATGAAAGACATTTTGGGGAAATTGCACCGCTGGGAATGGAAGTTGGCACCAAGACAGACATTTATGGAGCGGAGGCAGGAGCAGGAGCCTGCAAGGACCTGCAAGCATGTTCTTTTTATTGCCGCAGTTGGTGTCGAAACTTTGTCAGCGAAACCCTTCAGCTGGCACGCTAATCTGCAGCTCCTTAATGTGTAATAACAGCAGGCAGAATGGGTGGCTGCCACCAGTTGAACCTTCCTAGACAGACCAAGTCTGCGATTGGTTGAATGGCAGTCAAGCAGTAAAAGCCAGAGAGCTGAGCTACAGCCAGGAGGCCCAGCAGAAGGACTGCAATGAGCCGGCAAAGCTGCAGGAAGACATACCCGAAAGCCCTTGCCAGGCTCCACATGCTCGGCGGGACTTGCTCCTGGGCACAGCCGGATGGAACTCGAGCTTGATGGCACACTCTCCACTCTATCACGGGAATATCATCCGAAGCATCTTTGGTTTGCCTGCAAAAAATAAATGCTCTGAAGGAGCTGTTGAGAGTGTTGCCCGTTTGGGTCATGGATTACTAGGGGGAGGGCTCCGGTAACTAATGCCCAACTGTGGCAGGTCAGGGCACAAGCACATTGCTCGCTGCAATCATAAATGGAGCACCATGGGCACAGGACACCGGACACAGGACCCTCTGCATGCTGCACTCGTCAAGCTTCAAACTTTTCAAACTCCATCAAACTCCGCACCCCTTCCCGACCAATCGACAGGCCACTTCCGCCTCATTGGTTATGCCAATTGGGGGGAAAAAAACTGCCAGGCAGGCAGCAACAATTGAAACTGCGAGACAGGGGGGGGGCTTGCTCCATGGAACTTTCAGCCACAACCCTGTGGGGCAGCGGTAATTACATATTACCCGATGACTGCCATTAAATGCCCCCTGAATGACCAATCCCACAGTGGGCGCTGCTTAAAGCTGTGCCACAAAAACGTAACTTTAAGTGTTGCCGAGCTGCGGCACGCATCATTAAATTGCAGCCAGGAGCCAGCAGCCAGCAGCCAGCATCCATTAGCAGATGTGAACAGACGGCAGCAGACGGGGCCACAGACAGACACAGAGACTCGTCGCAACCGCAGAGCCATGTGAGTGAGCAGCGAGGCTCGTGACTGGACCAGACACTGCTGCTCTGATCTGGTCTACCTGGTGCTGCTGGATGACCCATGCCAGTCGTGACTGGCTCACAAAAACTGCCGCATTGTGTGGCCAGAAAGCGAAACCACAAACTGCAGCAAGCGCAGAGCGCAGAGCGGCGAGCAGAAACTCTATGGCCAAAGGATGCGACTGGAGTGTGTGGCAGGCAGCGAGGAAATGATTCAAATGTATTAGCCAGAATTCAGTTGGTTGCATTTGGCTTTGGCACATTTCAACAGCAAACAAACCGCCGACAAATGCGAAGGGAAAATATTACCGAAAATGGCAGGAAAATGCTTTGGGATTAGGTGTTTTTTTTCTGCTACTAATGAGTAGCCCTTTTGAGGGCAGCTTTCTCCTTGAGCTGTTTAGCGTCTAAGTCCGCCAATCCTGGATGCAGCGGATCCAGGGAGATCCAATGAGGCCGAACAGCAGCCACTTGTGGAGTCTGTCCAAGTATTCCCTACTAGTTTTTTTCTTATGGCTATATACAATTAGGATCTTTGTGGACATTTGCATTACGACCAGTGTGTCGCAACGTTTTTGATTCGTAATTGGAAAGTTCCTCCAAAATTGGCAACATTCATAATAAGAATTATCAAATGACCATTCCGTGTCACGGGTCCAACTCGCTGGACTTACCCATGCTTGGCAGTAAGATCACAGGAAGTTTGAGCGAGGAGAAAGTCGCAAGAAAATATTATTGTGTCAGTTGTGTGCTTTGAACCCGAAGAATCAGCTAAAAGTCAAATAGTTGAGATTCCGTTTGAATTCCGCTGCCGCCATCTATGGGGTTAAGCTGGAAACATCACAAAAGCGCTCTCTATACCTCATGTTCTGCTTTGCCTGTTCGTTATAGCACTAACCATAAACTATATATTGTATGGTTGGGGTTATAGCTAGTCGTCCTTACCTTTCGGCCGCATTTTTTCCATAAACATGAAAGTTCGAACGTGCCTGCTGCCGCCACCTGGCAGCTGTTCTTATACTTAATATTTGCTCACAACGTTTGAGCGGATTTATGAAGGTTGGTGTGTTTACATTCTTGCCGACAATTAGCTAACCTATAAACAAATATTTTATGTGCTGAGAGTAATTGTTGCCTATTACAAACGAATTTCAAATTTATAAATGTGTATGTATTTACATATTTATATACATATTAACCAAAAACAATTTCCCTGAATTGCATTCCCCCAACGCTTTATTTCAAGCAGATTCAGTATTTTTTTTACACAACATTTAGCCAGAGCGGTTTTGGTATATTTTTAGAGTATTTTTGTGCTCATATTTCAAACGCAAAAATGAGTCAAAGTTCGGAGCTATAATATTTTTGGTATATTTCTGGGGTATTTTAGTGCTCATTTCTGAAATTTTCTGAAAGTGATTGTGAAAGCTCGCTAATTTACAAAAATTAAAATAAAAATGAGTAGCTTAATACAAAATAAATGTACATACACCATTTAAGTATAGAAAATCTCCAAAAATAATACAAAAACAACATAAAATAAAGAAAACCCCTTTCGTCGTTGATTAGTTAGACGATAATGATGATTTTTCCAACATTTCTGATTTTCTTTTGCCAAAGGAAGAAACCCAATAATAATATACAAATAAAAGAACTAAAATCACAATCACACTCAGAATCACAAATTTAAACTCGTTTGTTGTTCTTATGCGCGCGCGACATGTAGCAAACATGTAGCTACTTTGTAAAACATAAAGTTACTTTTTTTACCTTTCTTTGTTTAACACCTAATTTATATCCAATCCAATAAAAAGCATTAATATAATTAGCTAAATTGATTCTTTGATTGGATAAAATGATTGTTTCAGTGTTAAAAGTCTTCGCAAGCTCGTAATTTAAAATAGAACATCAAAATCGAGTGAAATGATTTAAGATTTGGGGTATATTTTGACAATTGTATGGTATATTTCTGTATATTTTTAAGGGTCGCGCGGTACATTTGCTCGATAAATCAGAGGTCACACTAATGCAGATTCATAATACAAAAAAAAAGATAGTCAGCTGTTCGTTTTCCGACTTTACCTTTACAAATACACCTAGCGTGCGGACGTGTACTCCTCGACTTCTGCAACATACGTGTAATTTTTTTTTTGTCGCACGCACAATTTGCAATCAGTTGATTCTACGAGTGCGCGAATCCAAGCGGCGTTCAGTACAGCTGCAGTGCACCTGTGCCTGTGTGTTCGGCTCGTGTTTAAGTGTGAGTGAGTGAAGACTATGCAGATCTGAAACGGTGGTTCAACAGCCGTGAAGGAGGAGGAGGAGAAAGAGTAAGCGCACAACAACAAAATACAACAAGTGCAAACAACGCGCGGACTTCTTCCTCTGTTGGCGGTTAGCTGCTGTAGCAGTTTAAGCAGGCAGGCATGTTGTTGTTGCTAAAACATTAATAGCGGCACACGGCCCAACGGCATATCGAGTAAATACATTGTATATTTAATACCAATGCAACACATATTCCACACACACACACACCCCCCCCCCCCCCCCCCCCCCCCCCCCCCCCCCCCCCCTCGGTCATCTCTTATCAGGTCATATATTTTAGGCGAAGTCACTGCTTTTCGCCTTTGCTGCTGTTTGGATGGGCATGGGCAAGGGAGAATGGCAAAGGGAGAGCCAACCTTTCGGTTCGTTCTCTTCTGCCATTTGCCATTCCTCCTCCTCCATCCTGCTCCTCGTCCTCTTGCTCCCTGCTGCTGCTGCTTCTGCGGTTTTTTGTCGCTTTGCTTTCTGCCGCCTGCAGGCCGCATAATGAGGGTGCTTCAATTTCAATGCATTTCGCCTCTCGCGCGCTCTTTTCTCTCTGCCTTCTTTTTGTTGTTGTTCGTCGTGATGTTTTTGCTGTTGTTGTGTGTTCTTTTCCTATGGTGGCAGGCACATGCATGTGCATGAGAATCTGCTGCTTTGGTTCCGCGGAGTGTCTCCTCTATGTTCGAGTGCTTGGAAGGGAGTCTGCGATTTGAAACTGCGAGCCTGGCTGGAAGGGGGCGCTTCATTTGTTCGTCCTTGCCCCCCACCCACGCATTCATATGCACAACCTCCCACGCACACATAACCATCCCCCACCCCGTCTGTCTTTGGGCTATATTTTCGTTTTATTTTGTCAAAGTTTGTTGCACTTTTCGCATCCTGTCAACCCAGACCAGACCAGACCAGCCGAGCACCAGAACCAGCACCACCCTATCGCCCACAGTGCACCCTTTCCGTGTTTCATTTCCTCTCCATTCCCTCCCAACAGCAACAATTAGTCGCAGCTGCGAAAGAAGGGCACCAAGGCAGCGACGGCAACAGCGACAGCGACGCTGGCGGCAGACAAAAGCCGCCTTGCCATCTTGCAGATCTTTCCCTCCCCCTCTCTAGCGCTGTCTCCGCCTTAGCTTGTGCTACCCTTTCGGCGGGTATGTTCTGTTCGAAAGTTGCTTGCAAAGTCAACATGTACATACAAATGTGCATTACAGGGTACTAACTGCAGCGACCCCTCATGGCCCTGGTGTTCCCTTCTTATTTATGTACACATTTCACTTGGCACTTGTTATATTTACACGCTCCCAACACTTGCACATGCCACACCTTCCCTTACCCCTCTGTTTGTGTGTGTGGCATCATCAGTATGCCAGTTGTCACTTCATCTTTTTAAATGCGCTTCATGGTTTTCAATTTCGGAAAACAAGTGGCCCAAAAGAGCTGCAGAAGTGCCCATATTACATGCCACACAATGCAAGTGCTTCCCCCTTCTCACCCATATGAGAAAAATTCAATTAGTCTCCCACCCAGTTGGATATCAAACTCAATGAAATTCAACTAAATGCAAATTTCGAATGTATCCATTCGAACACAACGCCTCCCCCGTTCCGCTAGCCCTGGCAACAGTTCAAAAATAAAAAATGAAAAAAAAAAACAAAAGAAAAGAAAGAACTCCAATCCGAAAGTTCCGGCCAAGTCTTTGAGACGGTGTAAAATCATTATTCGTCACGCTCTTTCGTCCGAAAGAGCCCTGGCCCTGCTTGAGGGAGGCGTAACGGTCAACAGCGAGCGGTAAACGTGTTCTCACGGAGAGCGAGAGAGAGAGAGAGAGAGAGAGTTCTGGAAAAAATACAAAAAATATACTCTGAAAGTTGCACAATTCCAGACTTATTCCCCAAAAAAAGATCCTTCCTTCTGGTTCTCTCTCTTTCGTTATCTGATTCAAGCACAGCCCTTGACCTACCTGTTGTTTTCTGTAGCAAATGATTCCCACCCCCACGTTCAGTCAATTAACGGCATTTTGTGGGAAGGTGGAGAGGAGATGGGAATACAAAAGAAAAACACATTCTATTTCTGGTGTTCCTTCGGCAAACAACTCTTTTTTGAGTTCAAAATTTTCAGTGACTTTTTTCTAATATTCAACATAAACTGAAGCACCTGGTCAATGCGGACTCATCGTCTGCGACCAACCAATATCGCCATAGCGATTAAATAGCAAAAATAAAATAAAAACAAACAAAGCTAATGAAAACAATAATAAATTGTGGACTCGACGCGAAGGGAAAATATTACGCATCTATCATAATTCCACTCATATTACCGTGGCTATCAGCACTTTTTCATCATTCACTCAAATCGCTTCCCATTACAGGATGGAAAAGTACATAAAGCGAAATGAATATCAAATATTAAAGGGAAATACGCAACGTTAGCTGTTTGGGCCACCCAAAAAAAAAAAAAACAATAAAACCAAAAAATAAACAAAAAATGTGAACAATTTTGATGGCCTCCAAAGCGCAGGCAACTTTTTGCTCCCCCTTCACCGCCAAGCAATTGCACAAATTGGCCCCAACGCGAAGGAAATGCAAAGGAAACTCCTTGCCTCCATTAAAAGTTGGCCCATTTGGAATCGGTTTCATCGTTTTTTTCCCACCATGCCACCACGCCACAAAATCTTCTCCCAAAAGAGAAGTTTTAATGGTCTTTCCTTGAGTCCGTCACCTCCGTTACCCCTTCCTTCAGTGGCTCGAAATTTTGTCTTCTGTACACGTAAGACCTGTCGCTCTCTTCCACTCTCTCTCCCTCTCTGTAGCCTTTCTTCTGCACCAAGAGAGACAGCGAGAGAGAGAGAGAGAGAGCGAGTTAAAATTGTAAATCAAAACAAAAGTGCAAAAATTTTAGCATGCTTATCAATTTATGGCATTCGTCCCCGTCCCCGTCCCCGTCCCCCTCCCCGTCGCTGGCCAGATCCAACACGCCCCTGCAGTCGGTTCGTCACATGGGCACCGACAGGCCACAGCAGAGGAAACTTTGTTGCCAATTTGCATACAATGCACTTTTTTTGCAGTTAACATTTTCCACTTGACAGTTTGTTACATTTTGTGCATCTTTTTTTTAATATTCTTTTATTTTTAATAGTCTGCCAGCCCTACAAAAAAGTATGGGCTGCACGTTAACTGATAAACTGAGGAACGTCAAGGTTGTAATATGATTTATTTATTTGAAGTTAGATAATTGTTATTTAAACTAATTCCAACAGCCTTCACGTTGGCCCTTTTCTGCCTTTGGTATTCGTGTTTATCTGTACAGAAATGATTATTGAACATTATTTTCACAGTAGGTCCTAGTAAAAGGTATTCCCAAAGTCGCAAGGATCATCCATATTCTTGTTGTGGGAGTGTCCCGTATTCGACACACATTTAGTTGGAAAAGTTTTGATGTTGCACAATTTCAAAGTCATTCATTCATTCGATTGTTTTCCTATGCCCCTCTGCCCCCACCGACCAGCGGCTCCGGCTCTCAATCGATGCCACATCCAAAAGAAAACAAACGAAGCGACCCTCCCGCAGCACCCATCTCTCTGTTTCTATCTGTCTCTCTCTGTGTCACTTTTGTTGCTTTAATCGCGCAATATTTTGGGTTCAATGACTTGAAGCATTTGTTTTATATCGTATCGCATCTTTCGCTTCTCTCTGCTCTGCTCTGCTCTGCTCTGGGGAGTGTTAATTACTTTTTCCTTTATTTTGTTGTTCTTGTTTTAATTGTCACTTTTAATCGGGGCAGATCGAACGCAGGGCCCTAAAGTGACTTCGCCCAAAGGCTGTGACTGGCTGCTTGATACAAAACAATTTTGATTGGTCTGCCAAGCGTGCGTGTCGTCGTTAATAGGCAGCTTTTAAGCTATATTGTTGGTGTTGTGTGGCCCTAATTATGTTATAAGCCCTCCCCACATTGGTTCATTAGTTTCTGGAGTGTGTAATGACAGCACAAAGCCAGGGGCACCTCTCCTAAAGCTTATACATGTATACAAATGTATAAAAAGGATCGAAGAGTATAGGGATATAGGGCTTCTTCTTTTGAGGAAGGGCAATCGCGACTCGCGGTGCATTTCGTTTATGGGAAATTGTATACACCATGGCTCTATACCCATTTTTGTGTTAAATATCAAATAGGGTAAATGGAATTGTCACATCCAGTCAGATCTATGACAAACACAAGGTTCAATGTACCTCTCCGATTCCATTTCCAACAGCTGTACAAAGTCTTCTTTCCGTCTCTTTTTTGTATTTATACAATGCTTGTTTTTATTTATACAGAAGTTGACATAACACAAATTGAATTATAACATTTCTCCAGTTACTCTTTGTCTCATCTTTCTTTCCTGCTTGGTTACTGGCTGCTGCTGCAGCATTCCGTGTATAACGCGATCAGACGTTAACTTTTAATTAACACTTTTTGCTCCACTTGCACGGAGACCGCCGGATGAATGGCTGGATGAGGCATGGGGTGGCTCTAAGCCACGTTTGAGTCTGCCCAGCAGCCCTTGGCTTCTCATTATACACCGCCCGCCCAATGGGCGTAACCAGCTAAGTGGTTGGTGGATGGTGGATGATTTCTAAAGAATCCTTAGAGTTGACTATAATTCTATATAGATTGGATAATCCAGCACTAGAAGATGAAACTGCCCCCAAACCTTCTGCAGAGTGGATGGAGCCTGGTTTTAGGGTATTCTAAGATCCATTGGAATGTCGGTGGCATGGCATTTCTTTCTCTTTCCCTGAGTTTCCATCATCAACCAGCGGCGTTTCGCTTCACTGTGCAAATATGCTGTGGGGGATATTCGCTTCATTGCATCCGTTGGCCCACCGTCGCGTTGCGTTGCGTTGCGTTGCGTTGCGTTCCGGCAAGGGCAAATCCCAAATCCCTGCCACTGGGCCCTCTTCGTGGGCTTAGATAACGCCATAGAACAGCTGCCTAGTACCCTTCCACCCGCTACTGCTGCCTGCATATTGTCTGAAGTAATTTATAATATCATGACGTGACGTGCCTTGTGCTCATGCCGCTGGTTCTGTCTCTGCTTTTGCCTGATAAATGAGCCAAATGTCGCCGTGGAGTCAGTTGGCTAAATAATAAACTCTCTGCGCGGCACAGGGCCACGTTTTCTGTTGCCCCTCGTTCCCTTCCCTGAGCTTAAGCCGCACGGATTTTGTTCTCCGTTTTTTTCTTTGTTTTTTCTTTGTTTTTGCCCGCTTTAGTTTTTAGAATTTTCCATCCAATCATCAACACTTCCTGAAAAAAGCTTGGCTCAACATTATTTATGCAGATTTTCTTTCACATTTACTCCCGCCCCCACCCCCCACTCTTTTTGTGTCTCTCTCTTTGACTGACTCACTTTGGGGCAGACAATGAGACATGGAAGACATGAGACGCATGGAGGCGCAACAAGCGTGTGAACTAGCGCCAGGCTATTCGCGCAGAGTGCCACAGTGCCACCACAGACTAAAAAAAAAAAACAAAAATCGACTGTCTAAAATGATATTTTATATGCCGAAAATCAAAGCATTTTCAGAGCATTTATAGTTGGATAGTTACATCTGAAGATTTATGAAGCCAAAGCCATTTATTTGAAGACATATTTTTTAATGGAATAATTTCCCAAGGCATCTCTAAAATTTGTCTCATAAATGGCCTAATAAATCAATTCCATTCTGTTGTTGCCTTGCATCACCATTTTTAAACCACTTTGCAGCTAAGCCACAGTGGAGTGGAGTTTAGCATCAGCGGAGCGGAGTGGAGTGGAGTGGCCAAAACAAAATGCCATTAAGCTTAAGTTGAGCATAACACGAAAGAACAAAAGCAGCTGAGAAATGCTTGTGGAGAAAAACGCACACAAAAAAAAAAAACAAAAAACATTCATGCATACAGGGAGGGGGTGAGGGTGAGGGTGAGGGTGGGTAGTGGTGTAATAAAAAGCAAAGTCCCATCAAATAAAGTGGGGGAAAAACTCTTCTCTTCGCTCATATGCATAAACAATTTAATATGTCCGTGTGGGCTGGCTGGCGGCTGACTGAATGTTGAGTACAGAGCAAAGGCATATCACAATCAAATGTACACGCTTATTAATTTTTACAAGACTTTAACCGACACTTGGGCTCACACAATCACACAATCAACCAAGAACAAAAAACAAAAAACAAAAAACAACAACTGTTCATAGGGGGGAGGGTGGTTAAGTGGAGCAATGTTTACCCTTTTTGGCAGCAATCCACATGCTCCACCTCCTCCTTGTGGCACCTCTTCAAACAAAAAGTGTAGCCTGCCTCTCGGTATTTTCCCCCATTTGATAGAGCAGTGTCGGGTGAAAGTAGTAAAAAGTGGGTGGTTCGTTGGAGTGTGGAAAGCTGGAAAGGGGGTTTGCTCCAGTAAAAAAAGTTTCGACTGACGAAGGGCCTTCGGGGTAAATATATAAGCCACATTTTGGCATGCAAAATATTGCCAAAAGGAATTTTTATTTTTATACATTTTTGCTGTTAATATCAAAACTTTTCAACATGCGAGCGCATAAGCTAAGAGAGAGAGAGAGAGAAGGAGAGAGAGAGAGAACGAACAAAGGGGAAAATGGGAAGCGGAAGGGCAAAGAACCAAAGAGAAACGGAAGCAAACCCTTGAGGGGTTTGCTGTCATGTGTGTGTGGAAAGCACATTTTTGCATTCCCAGACACACAGACTGCCACGCCCACGCCCACGCCCACGCCCAAAATAACTGCTTGGAATGACCAACAAGTTGGCAGGATCAGATGCCAGCAAGCACACGGACAAGAGACAGACAGGCAGGCGCTCAGACATGCAGACATAGAGCAGGGTTTTGTGAAGAGACTTACATGGGTCGACGCGAAGATACCCGCGATACCAGCTAAGACAGGCAAAGATTTAAACATTCAAATATCAGTTTTAATTTTTATTTTCATATTAAAATGTAACCGAAAGGCTTCATTTTTGGGTGTGCATTCCTTTTGTTGAAATTACTGGGTATAAAACTGAATGTTTAATTGAGAGTAACAGAAGTCCGCGCTGCGTGTGTGTTGGCTCCAACGGCTACAAGGTGAATCATTCGAGAGATGAAAGGAGTGAAAGCTGCCAGAGAGAGGGTGGAGGACGAACTGGTAGAGACGACCGCAGAGGACGACAAATTGCAAGCTTTCTTTCCAAGTTTCTCGTGTCAGGAACAGAGTTTTGAGGTTCAGAAAATTGCATGCGAGTAATGTAAAAAAAATTGAAAAAGAAACACTCACTCGAGAGATGATTTGTGCAAAGTTTTTCATTCTGTGGCTGTTTCGGGGTCAAAAGTTCCAGTTGCAACGGGCTCTTTGTCGGCAAATCGTCAGCAGGAGGAAGGGGGGTTGGAAAAGGGTGCACTGAATGAAATGCTAAATGAATTATGCAAGTTCCGGTGCAATGGAAAAACTTTTATTCCAGAGTACTTACTTACGTTTTCTAAACACGAAAATTGTGTGAGGAAAAATGGAAAATTAAGTGTCTCAGACGGGGAGAGGGATTTGATTTCTAGTCCATTGCTTTGGTCACTTTTCCATGAAGTGAATAATGTTTTCTGTGGGATGTAAATTATACTCTTCGACGGAGTCTTTACTTTAAGAAGGACTCAACTCCTTACCTCCTTCACTGCTGCTCTCTCGTTCGCTTTCTCTTTGGTTGTTATAACTGGAAAAGTTCTGTATTTAAGGGAATTATGCTCGAGCATCTGACACGTCGGCCGCACTCTCGAGAGCTGCCAGGGACTTGGCAGTTGGCAGTTGTGAAGTGCTGCTGCCCCAGCTACGACTGCTACTGAAAGTCTGAGTCTCGTCTCGTCTCTCAACTGGCACTGCCACTGCCACTGCCACTGCCATAGCTTCTCGAGAGTAAGCAAGCGAAGAGCCCCAGTGACGAATGTCCTCTCAGAATTTTACGAGATGCACTCGACACAAGGTACAGTTGAGCGTTCCCCACGTTGTGAGAAGCGTTTCTGCTTCGCAAATTTTCATCACATTTTGTGTTTTATACAGCCAATGTTGAAGGCTCTCCTGATCGAAATTAAGCCGCTTACTTAGGGGAAACAGATTACAGATGTGCTGTTACTCTCCAGTGTGCTGCCCATGGAAACAGCTTGTAAATGTGTTCTGTCTATCCCTCCATCCAGCCATCCATCCCCAGGAGTCACGTTCCCATGTCATACGTGATAGTAGATTTTTAATCAACTAAAGTATGACATGTGACATTGAAAAGAGAAGATTGATATGCAGTCGATAGCCCTTTATACGCATCTGTTTGTGGAATGTTTTGATGTTATTAATAATACCTAATGTTTGATCATCTGCTTGCAGATATGACGGAGGAAATAACTGGCAATTGGAGCTATTACTTGTATATATCGCTAACGCTGGTCCCAGTCTATCTGGCGTTTCGGCTCATCAAGACCCTCGGCTGGCAGCTCTTTGTCAACAACTGAACACACACAGGACAGAGCTCTGCTCCCCATTCCATGCTGTGTTGCATTTACTGCTGCATTCAGGCTGCCAAACAAAGGTGCGTAGTCACTCGAGGTTTCCACACAGATGCAGTCCGGTATTTGGTAGTTGTCGAGCGTTCAGCGTTGAACAGTTTCTAGTGCAGAGGCAGCAGCACCGACTAAGCGCTATCCCGCGGCAAGGACTTAAAAGTGTAATAAATGCCAGTGAATCTTTCTGCTTCTGCATGAGTTCAATATGAAATCAAATCGGTCAAACCAATTGCTTATCTCCAGTAAGACTTTCTTGCCCTTTAATCGTAGCAAAAGAATACCCTGCAGCATCACTTTTAGCCACGATTATAGGGTGTGTACAAGTCATGCCAAAGGAAATCTTTTTTTTTTCACTTAAAAACTATTTAAATATAATTATTTTTCTGTTTTCTTGCTTGCTTTTGCAGTTGAAATACAACAAAATAAATTATAACAGAATGCAATAAGGAAAAGTGGAAGCTAAACAGCAGCAGCACAAAAATCCAAGAGGTAAAACGAGAGCAAAGGAGCTGTGGAGCTGAGGAACTGTGGAGCTGAGGAGTATCACAGGAAAGGAGAGCGATAAAGAAGAGGCCAGCTGCTGGGATTTGTTTGCCCAAGAAGCAGGCGCTGCCTTGGCCAAAAGAAGCAAACAAAAGGCGAGGCAATGCCAAGCAATCAACGTCATAAACAGGAGCAGCAGCAGCAGCAGGAACAGGAACAGGACCAGGACCAGGACCAAAGTGGCCGCCGTAGACGTAGTCATTGCGGTGGCATAACAGAGGAGCAACAGCAGCTACAACAACTGGAGAAACGCAGTCAGCATCAAAACCAGAAACATCTGCTCTAGGGCTCTGCTTTTGCCGCAAAGACCCTAAGACTACTCCTCCGACGCCATCACCTTCTAGAGAGCAAACAGTGAAACAGAAATAGCGAAAGCAAAGCAAAGCCAGAGCCAGAGCCAGAGCCAGAGCAAAACAACTCGCTTTGAGCACTGGGTACGCTGTACGGCTCTGTACATGTCTCAAGAAAACCAATTTACATATTTAAGCTTTGGCCAAACGAACGAGGAGGAGGATAGAGCCAACTAGAAGTCCACTCATTCGTCAATAAAAAGGTAACGGCGACGGCGACGACGTCGACAAGGAGGGGTTCAAGAAAGAGCCACAAGTCCCCCAAAGCAAATCGAGCCACTAGGCCCCAGGTGGCAGGCGACTGACGGCAGGAGTCTTCGGGGGAAAGTCAAATCAAAAAGCAGTTAGCTTCAACACCTTTCAAGTCAAAAGCGATAGCGAGAGAAGGAGAAGGAGAAGGAGAAAGAGCCAGGATGCGATTGCCGTATCGTAATAAAAAGGTCACCCTGTGGGTGCTCTTTGGCATCATTGTCATCACGATGTTCCTATTCAAATTCACCGAACTGCGCCCCACCTGCCTCTTCCGCGTGGATGCCACCACCAATGAGCTGTCCTCCCAAATGGTTCGCGTTGAGGTATGTACCCCCAAATCTCGGCCAAAACATCTTCGCCTCCTCTTGAGCTTAACGTGCGTTTCAAGTGTGTTAGGAAGTTTAGGGTAAAGCGAAAGTTTCTTCCACCCACGCGCTCGTACGAGCAGCTAGATAATGGGAAACTCAAAAAGAGGAGACGGCAAATCTACCTTTCAGGTGTAGGAACAAACTTTTCTTGCATGTGCACATATCAAACATTTGCTCGCTTAAAGTCTTTGCTTACTTGATGACTACTTCAATTTTTATGCAATTCGAAAATAAAATTAGTTTTAAATTGCTCCCCGCAGCAATTGAAATATAAAAAGTGCAGAAAAAAAAGGTTCTTGCTCTGTCTTCTGTATGCCAGAGTATCGCAAATTTGATGTAAGCCAGAAGCACTAGCGATATGTGGTAAAATTAAAAAAAAACAAAATACATGTCTTGTACTTGATTTTTTTTTTTTTTTTACCTATTCAACAAACTGGCTCACTGTCTGTTGTAATTATCTGTTTGGGCGACGACTAAACGCTCTTAGAGCATGTTCCCCTGTTGGCCATTCGATTATGGCAAATTTGTACAGCCAATCAGCGAATGATGTCAGTTGATACCAGTTGAACCCCTCATGGGCATATGTGGCATTCGTAATTGATCAGAATCAATGTAATTCCATATTCAACTGAAAATTCATTGGCGTAACGCACTGTGTTGGCTGGGACTGGGACTGGGACTGCGACTGCGACTGGGACCTTGGGGCACGAACACAAAACGCTTCCAATGATAAATCAAAGGAAAGAAAAAAATACTCTGAGGAATCATATATGTTTGTATCATAGAAATAGTAGAACCGAAAGCAGGATAACTAATTTCATGTTGGCTGAACACACACAGTGGAGTGAACTGGACCGGTGAAGGAAGGAAGGATGTTCTGCCCCACTCCAGTTTTGGGCGGGGAAAAAGAGAGAGTGGCCATTCATCCATTCCCCCTCCCGGCTGACCGCATACGCAGACCAAAGCAAAAGTCATTGAGGGAATTTAACTGGTTATCGGATGACCGAACACTATTTTGTAAACATTAGTCCAAACCAAAATGGTCCTCATTGGGCGTTGAATACCATGGGGAGGGTGAGAAGGAGGAGCAGAAGGAGGAAAAGCCATTGATTAGCATTGGGAATATCGAAGGCCATAAGGAGCTTAGCACCGGACCAGAGCCATGACTCCACATGAAAGACAATACCGATTACGATGTGTGTCTGTGTGTGTGTGTGTGTGTGTGCAGAGTGCAGAGTGCAGAGAGAAAGCCAACGAATTTCCGATTCCCACATCTTTTTAGTCTTCCAATGGCTTACAGAACATTAGCACATATTTTGGTCTTAACCCAGAGGTGGAATTTAATTTCTTGGCTTTTCTCTTTTGTCCGTCATTAAGGGCACAATGAAAACAAGTGTTGTGGCAGCTTCATTCCACTTGATTTATCATTGAAATTTAATTATCAAATGTTTGATGAGCGCAAATACGCATCGCTTGAAATATCCTTTCAAAATTCACTGCAAATAAACATGTAAACTCCGAATAGATTGCTTAAATTTTGGTTAATTAATGTTTAAACCAAATAAAATTAAGCAAACATACAAATATCCAATAATTTAATGACACATCACATATGTGCATGCAGACATCGAGTATATCTTATCAGTATTTGTGGAGTGGTTAGTGCTTCGATTAGATAGGAGGCAACAGCCCGAAACCCCTCAGCTATCATAGATATCAGTGCTCCATAAATCATTTATAATCGATACAGGAACATCGATCGATTTCCCATTACGATGGGATGGATGAGACCCAGCCGTAAAAGGGGTTGTGGCAAGATTCCAGAGACCCTTCCAAGAGCTTTAATTTTTATTGACAGTTTGAGTTATATTTTTAGTCATTTACATCGCATTATGGCCCGTGCACGTCTCCTACGCGAACTGGGAAGACATTTTCCAGATATTCTACTGTCATTTTTTGTTGCTTGACGCTAATGCCTATGAAGGCTTTAACACCTGCGTTAAGTCAAGCAAAGCAATCCTACCCCACGCGCTCTACACTTTCCATCGTCATCAGCTCTGAGCCACGTAATTTTTCTCTCGCCTGCCTGCCTGCCTGCCTGCCTGCCTGCCTGCCTGCCACATTTTGCTCTAATTTCATTTTTTTGTCATCTCTCTCTCTCTCTCCCCCCTACAACCCGGACACCCACGCATTGGATGTGCAGAAATACGTCACGGACGACAATCAACGCGTTTATTCATATAACCGGGAGATGCCTTTAATATTCATTGGCGGCGTGCCCAGATCTGGCACGACGCTGATGCGCGCCATGCTCGATGCCCATCCTGATGTGCGGTAAGTAAATTTCTTCCTTCAGCAATTCTTCAAACTGCAAAACTCAAACTCTGTTCACTTGAATTTGCACCTTCAACTGCCTGCAAACAAAAAGGGAAAATCCATTGGGAAAAGTCTCTTTCAATCGAAGGTATCTTTTGCCTTTTGCAACACACAAATTGTAGCATATTTTCTTAGCCTCTATGCTAAATAGAGTGTATCCTGGTCTATTGTTAGCCTCCAAAGGGAAAATATTGTAATTTTTTAATATTTGCATTTTCCGTTTTACCCCCCCGTTGGGTTTCCTCTCCTGTGTGGCCACAATTCAATATATTCCGTGTCGAATTGCCCTTTGGCGAATTCTCCCTTCTGCTGCAGAGACAGCAGGCAGGTTCTTTCTCTCTCTCCGCTCACACACTCACTCGTAATGCCAACATTTCTTATGTTTCCCTTTACGCATGAGTAATTAGCCACGAAAATTGTGCAATCTGCAAAATGGCAAGGGCCAACAAGTAGCGAGCACCAGCCTCAGCCGAGAGCCTGCTGCCGCCTTCATTTTGTTGGCCGTTTTTCTTCTTTCCTTTTTAATTTTTATTATTAACAATTTGCCTTTCTGCAGTCCCCATCCATGGAGTATCCTGGCCTGGGAGCTCGGTGCCGCTTTTTCTGATGGCTGCACAGCGCAATTTCCTCTATTTAAAAATCTACTTCCCTGCACGCTCCTCCGGAAGGGACTGGGATGTGGAAACGCGATGTGGAGGGGCGATTTTAGTTACGAAATAGGTTTAGCGAGCGCCAGGTTGAGGTCCCCCAGTCCAACAGCCTGCCCGCACTTTGTTTTCTGTTCGTACCAAAAGTTCTGTAAAGTTTTCCGAAAGCTTCACGCGTGTGTGTGTGTGGGAAAAGGATAAAAAGAAGGAAAAGAGGAAGTAAACTGACAGTCGGCTTCCTCTCGGTAATGCTCAGATTAAATCTGCTATCTGGTGTGTATTTGTAGCATTTAGCATTTTAGCATTTAGACTTCGGCTTCAACTCAATTAGTGTGAGTCCTCGGTAAGCCCCAGGAATAATTTGTGGGCTTTGTGTGTGTTCACGGGGTTCACGATTAATGTTTGAGGTGTGAAATGCGTTTTGTGGGCATATCCCATCCGATTTGGCTGTAAGCTTTCGTAATTCCTACAACTTTCACTTGGGTTCATAGAGTGCCAAAGGCCACTGGAAGAATCTCTGCTGCAATCAATGAGGAGACAGCTGGGATATTTGTGATAATTTTTGCGCAATCAGCGTACCAATTTTCGTAGCATCTTTGTTTCGTTTGAAGCACTTCGTGTTTGACTGAGCTTTGAGCAGCCCGAAAGCAGGAGTGGGAGCCAAATGAGAGTTGTGCATCAGACATTCAGGCTACCGGCGCGACGGGATGGGTATCGCTTTTCATTTTGTCGATTGCATTAGGAGGTGGTTTGGTGTAGGTCTACGCCTGCTGTGCGGCAACCAAAGCCAGGCCTCATCCTGCTGTTGCCAGACAACAGTTTCATGAACAGTTTCCAGCCATCACACGAAACGATACGAGTATCGTATATGCAACCTGCTGTTGCTGTTGATGCTGCCTGCCACTTCCACTTCCACTTCCACTTACTTTGTGTGTTGTTCTCTCCCTCTCTCTCTCTCTCTTTATATGTCTCCCACTGCTGTTCTTTGTGTGGATGTGCGTGGTCTAGCTGCGGGCAGGAAACCCGCGTCATTCCACGCATCCTGCAATTGCGCTCGCACTGGCTAAAGTCCGAGAAGGAGTCGCTGCGGCTGCAGGAGGCCGGCATCACCAAAGAGGTCATGAACAGTGCCATAGCGCAATTCTGTCTGGAAATCATTGCTAAGCATGGAGAGCCGGCGCCCCGTTTATGTAACAAGGATCCGCTGACGCTCAAAATGGGCTCCTATGTCATCGAGCTCTTTCCGAACGTAAGCATCTACACCGCCCTGAGGGAGAGCAGACTTTTACGTCAGCAGCTCTACTTGTGCTGCTGTATCCTGCTGTGATACAATTTCCTACGACATTATCCACTACACTTCTACCTCTCCACTCTCTCCCCTCTCTCCCCTCTCTCTCCACTCCTGCACAGGCGAAATTCCTGTTCATGGTGCGCGACGGCAGGGCGACAGTTCATTCGATTATATCGCGCAAGGTGACAATCACCGGCTTCGATTTGAGCAGCTACCGCCAGTGCATGCAGAAATGGAATCACGCCATCGAGGTGATGCACGAACAGTGCCGGGATATCGGCAAGGACCGCTGCATGATGGTAAGTACCCACCAAAGGGGTAACCCATTCCAATCAATCGCTTCGTGACAAGCCAATCCACGTTAGAAGAGGAACTTTCTCATTCCTCGCCTTTACTTGATATTATTTATAATAAATATTTCTGCTCAGGTTTACTATGAACAGCTGGTGCTGCACCCGGAGGAGTGGATGCGCAAGATATTGCAATTCCTGGATGTGCCATGGAACGATGCGGTGCTGCACCACGAAGAGTTCATCAATAAGCCCAATGGGGTGCCATTATCCAAGTGAGTTTTTGCCAGGCAATTGTGTCCCTTAAGATCATAACTATTTATTCCATACCATTAGAGTGGAGCGTTCATCGGATCAGGTTATCAAGCCGGTGAATCTGGAGGCGTTGTCCAAATGGGTTGGCCAGATACCGGGCGATGTGGTACGGGACATGGCCGATATAGCGCCCATGCTGTCCGTGCTCGGCTATGATCCGTATGCGAATCCGCCGGACTATGGTAAGCCAGATGCATGGGTGCAGGACAACACGTCGAAGGTAAGGTGCAGCCCCCACCCAAAACAACAGCAAAAACAGCACACGCACACACACGCGCGCACACACACACGCACAAAGCAGGCTTACCATGTCCATCTCCTACTTTGCACGAAACGCACTTTAAGCCCTCGCACTGTCACCATTTCGCTCTCTCTCTCTCTCTCTCTCTCTCTCTCTCTCTCTCTCTCTACCTCTCTGCCTGTCATCCTGTTATGGCAGTCGGTTTCCTTTGGGAGAGGCAAAGCCACTTTCTGCTTGCCTGTGCTCCTCCATGCATGCTCTTGTTATCTTTCACCTTTTCCTTTTTACAGCCCCCCCCCCAAGCCCATGTCATTGGCATATTTTGCACTCCTTCACCCACTCTTTTGGGCGGAAGAGGCGCAGACATACGCCTTACATCACACACGTTTTGCAACACTATTTATTTTCTTTTCCTTCTTTTATCCTTCTACTCGATTTCGTTTGCCGTGTGTGCGATTTGTGTTTTGTGTGTTTGTGTTCTGTTCTGTTTTGTTTGTTTTGCGTTTTGTGTTTTGCACTTTGCCATTGCCTTTACCTTTGTTGTTGTTGTTGTTTGTGTTGGTTGCACCCCTGCAATTCCCATTCCCCCTATTTATTTTTCTTCTTTTTATTATGCATATTTCCTCCTTTTTCAGCTACTTTGATTCTTGTTCCTATGCCAACGATATGTGTATAGATATATATATCGTATTTATTTGTTGTTTTTTCTCCGCTTTATTGGTTCTTGCTTATTGCTTACGTATGCACATGAGCCAGAGGTTCCGATTTCAATATGGAGAGACGAACCGCCCTAGGGATGGTAACGGAAACGGGGGAAATTAACATGATGACTATGAAGATGATGATGCTATCAGGCAGAGGGGAAGAGACCTCGGCTGGAGCGTATAGAATAGGAGGGGCGAGAGCAGAGTGAACTTGAGTGCAGTTATCTCCTGGAGATTTGATTTTTAAGAATATTTGGCTTAGAGACTTACTCTAAATGTAATTAATATTAGTATGTTGAAGCGCAATAATTGCACCGCTAAGTGAGGCTTCTTCGACTCAATGGTTCAATGCAGCTCTCTAGATGCCCAATTTATTGGCAAAACAAAGTACATTAAATGTGAATAGTGTGAGAGTCGAAGAACATTTCTGAACTGCAGACCATAATGGTACGCTTGACAGACGCAGGCTCAATGCTGAGCAAGTAAATAAAACCCATCCGGCAGCAGCAGCAACATCAGAAAATGGTTTATTTATGCCAAAAACTGATGTGTCAGCAAAGATGGTGAACTGTTTAAATACCATTTTGATATAAGTTTCAATCTGAAACGCTTGGCAGTCTTTGTTCGTCCAGACAATTCATTCAATCACATTTCGCTCCAATGAATTTTGGCCGGCCCTGAGGTCACAGTTCAATTGTACTGTGGTCCATTGCCGTTTTCATATTACGCATATTCCCATTCGCATTTGGGGTTACGCCTATACGCGGTTTCCTCCGCTGCCATCTGACTCGAGTGGCATGTTCGTTCGGCTGATGATTCGGCCGCACAGATGTTGCCCGCGCGTGTCCGCTTTAGCCACAAGATTAAATTGCAATTTTTGGTTGGCCATGCAGGAACTTGGAGCTGCCTCCAGTCTGGATATGCATCTGTCGCTGCTCTCTCTCTCTCTCTCTCTCTCTCTGTTCCTCTGTTTGCCAGTGCATCCTGCTGAGTTATGTGCTGCCCAGCGACGCGTTAAATGATCTGCTAATTAATTAGTCCACTCAACTCGAGTTGAGTTAACCTAAGTTGAGCCATCTCCCCATTTTATTTTTTTTGCATATTTGGACAAAGAGTTTCTCATTAATTAAAATTGCATCAGCGCCAGCGCCAGAGCAATGCTGATAGTGGCAGAAACAGGACTCTGCTCCCGGGTGAACATTTAACTCTATTCTTCACTAGGGTTGGGTGGGGTGGCTGCAATCTGCAGGACAGACAGTCATAAGTCCACGAGTCAGGACTCCGTTTTGGGATGTGTGTGTGTGTGTGACTGCACTTTTAAACTCGATTTGCTTTCACCTTTAACTAAAATTCTGTCGGGATTTCCATTATATATGTACATATATTTTTTATACCCGGTACTCGAAGAGTAAATAGAGTATATTGTATTTGTGCACAGGAGGACTTCTGTATGCTCACACTGTTACAAGTGTATTTCAAAAAGGGCGAAAACCTCGCAAATCTACAATTTAACAGATAAAAGAAAACTAAAAACACCATTCCGTAGGGAATTATATTTGTTTTTTTCATTCACACTGCTTCTGCTGTGTGCGTCTAAAGGAGGAGCGAGCTAAAGGAGCGTGTTGGTGTGAGAAGTGTTGTAGATGTAGATGACAGATGAGGAAAAAATGTTAAATTTGACAAAACACCGCTCAGGTGCAGATTTAGTACTGAGTGCCGGGTATAAAAGTTGTGACGCGTAAGAAGGGTCTCACACGTCCCTTCTCGTTTTTTATAATTTTTTCCCCTGTATTTTTGTGTGTTTTTTTATTGCGCTGTCACGGCTTCAATTTGTGTTTGGCAGTTGAAGTTGCAGTGTTTCCATGCAGTTGCCTGTGGGGGGGTGAAACACATCAGACAGCTTATGGCATAAGTGGCAATTTATACATGCATGCCACCAACAACAGCGAGTGACAGAGGCAGGCAGGGACGAGCGGACAGGTGAACAGACAGATACGGCAGAGAGCGAGCCGGACAAAGTTAAGTCAACTTTTGCAATCCCCGTCATAGTTTGACTGGTAATTCCCGACGCCACATACTGTCTGCCATGCGCTGGCATGCTGCCACGAGGCACCAGGCACCAGGCCACTGGTACCGCCAACCGTAACAAGGTTGAAACGCAATTAATATCAATTGAAAGTCCGCCAATTTCATTATATTCCTTAATTTATGTTAATGGCAAATATTTTAATTAATTGATGCGGCTGCTCATCCTTCTACGCCTTTTTGCCATTTTGCTGCTCGAGGTGTCTGCACGCATTTAATATTTAATCCATATTTGCATATTTCATATTTGGGCACGCGAAAATAATAAGTGTGGGAGGGAAATTGCAAGCGAAAATGCAAATCAAAATAACGAAAGGTAAATACCCTCGGGCAGGACTCCAAATGCAAAGGTAAATATAAGAAGAGAGCGATGCAAAAAGCAAATATGGCAAAGGGGCAGGCAGGCAGTGGCCAGAGGGAGGCGAGAAAAAACTGATACATAAAAATGATCACATTGCAAAAATACCAGAGAAATTGAATGCGGAGGGGAAAAATGCGTAATGCGAAAAGAAATTGTATGCAGAAAGCAGATTAAAAAATGGTCAGGGAAGATTAATAAAGAACAGCATTCAATTAACTACAATACCAATGATGTGATGGTGGAGAAAATTGAGAAAACAAGAAAGCAAAAGCTCCCTTTCCAATGAGTATCTTTGATTGATATTTTGATTGCAAAATGTTTTTCGCTTTAATTGGAACACAAGACAAAGTTGAACAACAATTTGTGGTGCTCAAAAGTTTCCGCTTTTGGTAATTGTCTGAAGCTTATGCATAGTCACATGTGCAGCTGTTGGCATATGGGTTGCTTTGGGGTTGCAGCCATAATGAAGCTGCTGCCTAATGGGGGATATAATCCACAACATTTATATATTCAATCCTCATCTGTGTGCTACTGCTAATATGCATTTAAAACATTTAAACGTTGTTTGTATTTTATTTAGAGAAAAATTCAAGTATCTTTAGTGCTTGTATTTAAGTTTGTTTTTACATTTTGCAGGTAAAGGCCAATCGAAGACTGTGGGAAAATAAGGCAAAGCAAGTGCTCCAAATGAATCCGAGGTCGAGTGAGGATACGGATAACGACAACAACCCCATCAATATAATTAATACTAGTAACAAAAATAACAACAACATCAACAATAATAACAATAATAATGATGATAATAATGAAATGAACGATAATAATCTGTACAATATCAATAAAATTATACCAGTAGAGGAACACGAACAAGAACGGCAACAACAGAATAATCATCAACTGCAGAGACACCAGCAGGAGAAACAGCAACATCATCGGCAGCAGCAGCAGCAGCAGCAGCAGCAGAAGCATCAGCATCAAGAAAAGGAATTCATTCGGGAAGAGGAACAGGAACAGGAACAGGAAGAAGAGCAACAATTGTTGCATCAAAAGCCAAAGGATGTCATTACGATAAAGCAGCTGCCATTACAGTTCAGTGGCAATAGCAACAACAACAACCACAACCAGAATGGCCCACTGGCGGATACATGATATCCGCATATACCCATAAGACTGCCACGTGGCAAGCACTGAGAGAACGCGTAAAACTTTGATAATGAGTATGAAAACAATGAAAGATGCTTATGTAGATGTAGATGATGATGATGAAGATGTACGCACCAGACACCCCAACAGACACACACACACACACATGCACACTAATTTTAAATTGTATTAGCTGTAATGCATATAAAACCACGTACATATATGTATGTTGATGTATGTACATGTAAGAATGCTTTTTAATGTTACCAAAAATGAATGAAACACACAACAAACAGACAACATTTTAGCCCCCCCAGTAGGGTGCGTTTCATGACAATGAGCAAGCGAATACAATAGCATAGACATTGGAATAGATTGTACCATAAACATGTAATAACACAGGCTTTAATCTGTTCCATTATTCGCTTTTGCAGCATCTCTTACGAGAATACCATTCCCAAAACTATTAATTAATTGTCTTTGAAAGGGTGATATTATGATTTAGTTTCACTTTAACGATTACAGACCAGGTTTAAACTTACTTAATTTAAAGCAAAGACTCCATTGGACAACAGACTTAATATTTATGTATAAACAAATACCACTTGGAAGGAGACTCGTGGCCACTCTTGTGTCATGAAACGCACTGTCTGTGTACTATATCTAATCCGGCATACATAAATGTATAAGTATGTGTATGTACAATCTATAAGTTGCAAAAGACCACCTAAAGAAGTGCAACAAACGCTGGACATTCACCGAACTCCACTGTTATAAATATGACAAGAAATCTTTCAATTTAGTTTAGTCAAAATCTTTTGTACGCATGTTTTTGAGAGACTTATAATACCACAACTATTTGTTTTTTTTTCGAATAATTTTAATTGTGTATATATGTACGAGTAAATTAGAAAATAATTCGATTATGATTTCCCCCGAACGAATCTCTAATCTGAAAATCGTCTATGTGCTAAGACACAGAACAGCGCCAGTAACCTTTATATAGTTTTATACATACATATAAATGTATATATGTATGTATTTGTATATAAAATATGCACTGTTTATACGTTTGCATAATGGTGAGCAAAACAAAAAAGCCACAACAAATATCTAGAAATGTTACATTTTTAATGGATGAGCTTTTAAAGTGTTTTATTTAAACAGAAGACGAAATATTAGTAATAATCTTTAAACATATATTTGCTACTGACGGATAGGGGGGAAAATAAATATAAATAGGAATTTTCCAAGGTTTTTTTTTTTTTTTTGTTGCAATAAATTGACTGAATGTAAAGAAAATAAATTGAATAAATAAATATAAACATTTAATTATACAATAAATTGTATGATACACTTATATAATAATGGATGTATCTATGTAAAACTGAATGTCTAAATGTAAATGTGTGTTGTAATAGATTTTATAATACCCATGTATGTACTTTATGCCATGTGTATGTATGAAATAGAGAGAATCTTGAATTATGTTAGTCTTAGAGCCGTTCAACTGTTGTCAGACTCCACTGTCTGGCAATTGGAACCACATAGAGCGAGAGGTAACTAACTTATGAACAGTCAACAGCCTTAATATAGGTGTAGACAAAGAACGGAACTGTACTTACATAAAGTACAGTAATTGTAGACAAGTAAGGCGCCTAAGCGAGCACTGCTTGAAGCTTTATTACACTTCAATCATCTACCAAATATAGCCAGCTTAAGCAAGAGGCAAGGACATGAATTTGTTTTGCTTACACAGCTGCTCCTTCCGTGTTAATTTATAGTCTCTTATTTAACATACACGCACTGACACAGCCACTTGAGCCTTGTCCGTCCTAACTGCTGCGTGGGTGCATGTGTGTGCTCGGCCTCGCGCTCAAGGAAATTCAAGTTAAGTTTTTATTACACTTTTGTTTAGAAGACAAAAAAAAAGAAAATAATTGCTGACAATAATTAAAAACAAAATAAATGTATGATTGCTTAGTAAAAATGTAAAAAGAGAAAAGACAGAGAAGGATAATCCGTATACATAATGCTGTCCACCTTGCTCACCAAGCATTAAAAGCAAACAAAAAACATGAGAGCAGAGGAATGAGCATAAGTTTATAATATTTGTGTATAAATATTTTTAATCCGTGTGTGTGTGTGTGTGTGTGTGTGTGTGCGTTGTAGAGCTAACGAGAGCGGAGCATAAATGTAAGCCATGAGCAAAGCGAATGCTTTGATGGCCATGAAACGCAGTGTATGTGTAATCTTAACGAGTAAATATGTAAATGTGAAACTTGAACTATTTTTGCTATTTTATATGATGCATTTTTTGTCTAATTTTTACCAATGTATGTATGTATGATGTAACTACCATGTATATTTCTCGAAGGATACATAAATACATGTAAATGAATGTATTTTGTATGTAAACTTTTTTTTTTGTTCTGTGGGTAATCGCTGCATGTTGAAATAACAATTTGTATTACGATCTACTTGCAGCAGACAGACAATCAAGGCTCAAAGAAACTATAAAATTAAAATAAATTAAACCACAACTACCCAGAAACGCAGAAATAAATGTATTCTCGCCTGTCCCCACCCCACCCACAATTCCCATCAATCCAAGGAACCATAACGAAGAATATTTAGCAAATTATAAACCAAAAATAAACAAAAAAATAACAACTGTACGCTGCAAAGATCACGATATGGAAAAGAATTACAGAAATATATGTACACATATGTATGTAATTCCATTCATCAGATATTTTATGTGTGCAGCTCGTAGGCTAAGTAAATTGTACAATTTATTGCATTCATTAAAAACAACAACATGAACATGAAGAAACAGCCGAAAATATACGTACGTGGAATTATACTATACAAACAATCCAAAAAAACAATACAAAACAAAAGCAAATCAAAAGCGAAAACAATAAAAGTTAAACATAAAATATAAAATACAATTATGCAAATTAAAGTCGTTTGTACTTATTCACACAAATGCGGTCTCCCCTAGAACTAGTCAGCCAAGGCCAGAGTGTGGCGTTTAACAAAAAAGTATAGCATACTTTCGTGCAGCTGCACTAGTGCCTTGAGGATCACATAAAAAACCCTCAAAACTGTGTGGAAATTTGGAAACGCCAAACAAAAAATGATACAAAACGATGCGCATTTTATTGCTCTACAAGTCGGCTGCGAGATATCCGCTGATTATTTTCCATAACTCAGTGGGTTGCCCAATACGAGAGTTATTCGCCCTGGAGAACAAATAAAGACAGTGCTGAGAGATCGACCCGATCGACGCACCGACACCACACACACAAACAACGGGAATTGTTCATAGATATGATGCCATAACACACTTTAATATCTTGATAGATCTTTCTTTCTGACTCTTTCTTTTTGTTTGTTGAAGGTTGTTGGTTTTGTTCTCTGGTTTTTTGTTTTGACTGAGTTGGTGTTGGTTTTGATGTTTTATTTGAAAGAAATTCGTACATTTCTTGTTGTTTTCATTTTCAATTTGATAAGTTCAATAAAAAAAAGTTGCTCAAGTTGTTGTTTTGTTGTTTTGCAAGAGTAATAAGCATGTTTTTTCGAATAAGCTAAGATAATAACTATTTAGTTCATTCTTTTACTTTTATTAAAATTGTTTGGCTTTGGTATTTTTGCTTTGGTATTTAAATGTAGAGTTTGTTTTTACGAAAAAGACGTGGGGGGGCGGGGCTGGTTGGAGGGAACGTTGGAGTTCAGAGTCGGCTTATTCCTCCTCCTCCTCCTCTTCCTCCTCCTCCTCCTCTTCCTCCTCCTCTTCCTCCTCCTCTTCCTCTTCCTCCTCCTCTTCCTCCTCATCCTCCTCAGCCTCCTCATCCTCCTCCTCGACGACCTCCTCCTCGACTTCCTCATCATCCTCGACGATGTCCTCATCGGCCTTGGCATCTTCCTCACCCTCGGGTGTCTCGGGCTCACCGGCCTTCTTGCCTGGTCGCTCGCCGAACCACTTTGGCAGTTTGGCTATATCGAAGCAGAAGAACAAAATAGAGACACAATCGATTAGCATATTTGGATGAACATGAAGGAAACTCTTGGAGGAACAGGAAAATATAAAACAATACGTGGCACAACAATGAACAGAATAATGAATGTTGTTCTGTTGTTGTCGTCTCTGGTGGCTCTGGCTGTGGCATTTGGTAGAGCAGTAGAGTACAGTACATACATTTTTGACGGCCGGTGTATTGGTCCTTCTTCTCGTTCCAGATCTTCTCGTTCGAGTCCTTGGTGATCTCATCAAAGCCCTGTCGTTTTGTGTATTTTTGTGTTTGAACGTTTTGTGTGTGTTTTGGTTGGGTTTTTTTTGTTTTTTTGGTTTTTTTGTTTTGTTTGGTTGAATGAATGTTACGATACGCAGCGCACACAAGTACAGTTGACAATTATGAAATATAGTTTACATAAAACATAGAAAGAAAAATAAAAAGAGAGTTGACGGTTAGGTGTGTTGCCCAATTGTTGTCAGTCGCCCAATTCCCGTCCGGACCCCCACCCGCATTCCCATTCATTCTAAGCTGCTTCATCGACTCGACCCTTTGGACGTGACTGTACATTGGTAATGATTGGACATAGTTTTTATGGATTAGACATAGATAGTAAGGTAGAGAGAGAGACACACACGTAGACATGGAGATTGGAGATTGGAGATTGGAGTTCGTTTATCGGACGCTTACATTTTGTGCGCTGAGTGAATCTTTCCTGTCTTTCTTGCCAGGTCTTTTCTAAGGTTTCCGCATAGACCGTATTATAGCCCTATATTATTGATATTGAGATACACATTGAGAATAAACATGGTAGAAGCAAGAGAACACCCAAAGAAAACCCAAGTCTAATCGCGTAAAAGGCAACTGAATACTTACACCCTCGAAGAGCTTCTTCTTGTCGTCGTATGAGCGTGTATCGACACGTCGCTCATATTTGGAGGCGACTTGAATCTTGGGCTGCAAAAAAGGGCAGACAAGAACAAGTGTTGGTCAGATATAGTCAGAGATCGGAATCGTGAGCGACTTACCGGGTATTTGCCAGTCAAAGCTTCTGGGTCGAGACCCTTCTTCAAGGCTTTGTGCCTGAGCTGTTGCTTCTGTCTTTCCTTCAACTCTTTCAACTGGAATCGGGGGGTGCATATTTTTACAAAAGCCATAAAGACCATGCTCTGTAGGGGCTACTCACATCGTAGTCCTGACGTTTCTGCCTTTCTTCCAAGTCATACTTCTCAGTTTCCAATTTGACAATGAGCTCCCACAGCTCCTGGGCCTTCTCGCGCAGCTTAGACTCGCCGAAGCCCTCGATGGCCAGTGGCTTGATGCGGAACGACAGCGAGATCTTCTTCTCCTCCTCCAACTGTTCCTTAGTCTTGTTACGTTCCATGGCGGCGGATGAGAGTCCCAACTATTTTTTGTTTTGTTTTCATGTGCGTGCAAGTTTTTTTTTTGTTTTGTTTTGTTTTTGGTTTTTTTTTTTTTGTTTTAATATTTGTTTTTGATGCAGACACATTTCGTTGTGTTTTTGGTTTTATTTTGGTAATTTGTGTGGTACGTGTGGTACAAGTGAGAGAGACAAACAGTGAGAGAGAGAGAGAGACACACAAGAGAAGAGCGCATGGAGCGGAAGAGGAAGTTGCGATTGTTTTTTTTTTTTTTTTTTTTTATTTGTGTGTGTTCGTGTGTGTGTGTGTGTGCGGACAAACATGGAGATACATGCATGTTTTTGCAAAAGAAAAAGGAAAAAACAAAGAATTTGTTTTGTTGTTTCAGTTTCACATTTGTTTAGGATT